GAGGAAATGCCAGTAACTTGAATCAAGAAATCGCTCGTATGCCTGGACGCCGATATGTATGAATATTGCTGATTCTGCCATTTCAGCGACTGAGTGGAGTCACTTTCTGCGACTTGTTAGCTGCAGCATCATTAATATGAAGACACATTGCCTCATCTTGCCAGGTGTTTGCGAATTAAATAAGTGCCTTTGGCAAGTTAGTGGGAATATAGTTATGTTCTAGATGACTTAAACAAGCTGTTGAAGATAGTCATTCTCTGGCAAATGACATAGACAGGCAAGTTAGAAATTGGATGCTCCACCGAACTGACTTAAACAATCTTTAAAAAGTTTCAGCATAGATCATCTCCTGGACAGATTTTCCAAGGCAGTAGAGAGATTTTTAGTAAAGAGGGAACATGAAAAATACCCTGATGTAAAGCTTCATTGTTAACTAAATAATTGTAAATCCATTTATATTATAAATGTAGATGCGTGATTTCACAATTGAATTTAAACTACAAATATTGACGAATGCATCTAACCTACTTATAAAGTGGCCGAAGGTATTTACTATAAATAAGTTATTTAGGAGATTTTTAATTATTTAAAACTTTATTAAGCAATTTCTTTTCCATCCTCATTAAATTTAAAGTATTTTACAAAATTTAGAGGTGATTATGACTGGGAGTTGACATGAGATTGTCACTTAAGTTGGAAGGAAAGGTAGAGAAGATTAATATGAGATGACTCAGCTGTAGCCATTAAAGACGGTGTTACGAATGACGAGGAGGTTAATTAAAATTAGTTAATAAAGGTCGAGTTAATATCGTGATAATAACCTACAGACATTGTCCATGTTGACATAGATTGTTGTGGTATGATGATCATTGAGAAATGTAGGTAGATCGATTATTTTGACCTGACAGGGTATGACCTGGCTTGGTCATACTCCACCTAACTGATTTGACTTGAGGTGATTTGGTGATGAGACATGTGTAGTAGTTGGGAATCTTTATTTGTGAAACGTTTCCCGTTTCTTCAGTCTAGTAGAGAAGAGAATAAATATGGAGACAGCAGAAACATTTGGGAGGTTATGATGTTATCAGTCCATGAGCCTTAAAGCAGTTTTTGAGGTGGTCAGTCCCTGAGCCTGGAGAACAGTTCGGCTTCATACTCTGTGACAGTCTTTCAGACTGTGAAACAGAACTCTTTCAGGCTGAGGGACTGACCACCTCAAAACGACGTCTCTACTGCTTCTGCCGCCGCCTCTGTATTCGACTGAAGAGGTCTACTGTGTAGGCACATGTTTCACTCATCAATCTCGATCCACTTGTCGGTACGGTGTTCCGTTTCCATAATCGTACAACACCTGGTTGACCTGACGTGGTGTAACCTAGATAAGTCATCATTACATAGACCTGACACAGTATGACCTGGCTTAGCCATACACAACCTGATTGACCTGACATTACCTGGCTGGTTTGATTAGGTACACACCGTCCGTTCGTGCTCCCCGGCAGTATAGTTCCGCACAGTCTCTGGCAGTCACCACCCTGAGAATAAGAAGAGGGACGAGAAAGTTATGATGTCTTACACAAAAGAGAGAATTGTGAAGGTATTTTAGGAAAGCGTTCAGAAAACAAAATAGGTCACAGAATCGCTACATGTAAAAACAAAGGGATTGATCTATAAACTAAGAGCATAAGAATAGAGGAACACTGAGGCAGACCTACTTGCCAGTACTATTCAAGTCCCTCTCAGATCCAACCACTCTCACCCATAATTCCTTTGTATAAGGAGAAAGAGGATAAAGAGTATAAGAATTATAAAGGGTATATACTTTTTGAGTATGTTGCGTAAAGTGTATTGTAGTTATTGAAAGAGTTAAGGCTAAGAGTAGGAATACAGAGTAATGAGATTTCATGAAGGGTAAAGGATGAGAAAACCAAGTGTTTACCTTAGCAAGTAAGTGAACAATAAAGGTAAGGATTTTTTTACTGCATATATGAATTTTCAAAAATACACGTGATAATGCGGATAGGGGAGTAATGTGGCAGATATTGCAAATTTATGAAAGAAATGCTAGGTTACTTAAATCAGTAAAGTGCTCTGGTTAGGTTATGTAGGACAGAGGGAATTATTTTTAAGTAAAATTAGGCCTTTGAGAGAGATGAGTGAAATCACCATAGTTGTTTAATATAGACAGATGAAGGCAGTGGATAAGCCATGTCTGAGGGCAATGTGTGTTGTACATATCATGCAGAGAATGAGTTTGAAGATTAAAAAGTGTGATATTGGTATTGCCAAAAGTAGTATTCATGGAACTGATGATGCTGAAGTATTCTGGACATCTGGGGTGGAGGGAAGACAAGGTAGAGGTCATTCTAGAAAGTTTGGAGGAAGGGAGCAAAGGTTTTGAGTGTTAGGGGCTTCGATATCCAGGAGGCTTGTGTGAACGTGTTGAACAGGAGTAGTGACAAGTGACTTTTATCATTTGACGTACTGAGCGTGACGAAGAAAACATTTATGAGGAAATTCAGGGAAACCAGACAGTCGGACTCGAGTCCTGGAAGTGAGAAGTACAGTACCTGCACTCTGAAAGAATGGCTGAGATGCTGCGGTTTGGAGGATCATTTCAAGTGCTTCTTTGTCGGGTTACCTCACCTCGGTGGGAGACGGTTGGAATGTTAAAATTTGGCAATAACAAGGAAAAAGGCAGTCCAAATAAATTCCGATGAGGACACTAAGAAATTACAAGAAGTTCTGAATAGGTTGATGATGTGTTCCGAGAAGTGGCAGATGTTATAATATTGAGAAAATAAAACTAATGGTATTTCTAAACTAAATAATGTAAAGCGTGACCAAATTCATTTCGAAAAAGAGTTCTGGCCAGCAGAAATTTAGAACCAAGACAACAGTGAATAAATGTTTGCAATAAAGCAACAAGAATAATTAGCTTTGTATTAGAAGTATACATACTAGAAGTATACATAAAGGGTTATACTTAAACTTTGTTTATCATTGGTAAGATCTCTTATTATTCTGCTCGGTTGTGATCTATAAATTATAGAATGTATATAAATGCGCTGGAAAGACATATATTAAAAAACAGAGGGACTGAATTAGCATTATGAAAAGGCGTAGAATAAGGGAAACTGTAAGTGTATAAATAAAGAACCTGAATAAATAAAGGGAATATGAATAGCGTGTTGAAAATTCCTAACCAATACCGGAATTGCAGCAGTGGATTAAAGTTAGATAAACTGAGATTCAGAGAAGATATTGGAAAACGTTGATTTGGCAGTAGAAATGTAGATGAGCGGAATTAACTCGCATCTAGAGCCACTAGAGATCCTTGGGCAGCCCCCCCCAAAAAAAAAAAAAAAAAAAATAGGCTGGTCAGGTACATGAGTAGGTGTGGTTGAGCGTGGGAAGTCCTGCCTAGTATGGACTAATACAGGGGTCGGCAACCTACAGGATCCAGCCAACGGGGCCATAGCTCAAATTATGTTATATATTTGTCAGAGTTTAGTATCAGTTATTACCTCATTAACTACTGCGATAGATGTGGCAAGCCATCCGCTCGCAGACGTGGGCTCTGACCCCTAGGCAGAACAAGGTTGCTGATCCCTGGACTAGGGATAAACCTTGGTAATGGAAACTGACAGGTGCTTCGAACAAGGCATACGAACTAACACTGGAAAATGTTTCAGTCCTAACACCTTGATCACTTCTAACCTATAAATGTGTCATGAATAACAGTATATATAAGAATAAAGCGAGGCGTGAGAGACAGGTTGCAGAGTGTTCAGGAAAGACAGGAAGGAGTCTGCTCCCCTGAGTGAATACTGAGGCGCTTGCAACAGCACAAATTAAGCAACGTCTTTGTATTTCATAGAAACTCTACGGAATATTTGATGAGTTGGGAAGGTGCCAAACTCATCACTCAACCCAACCTGAGACATGGAAAGTACCTGAAAGCCGTCACTATCAGGGATCAAAAAGCTGGAAGTTGCATAAAAAACACTTGCATACCTGAGGCTTGATCAGGTTCTGACCCGTCTTAATGAACGACTGTTGACGAATAAACGGAAAGGTGAACGGGAGGCTAGTACCATGGTCCCGGAATTAATAGGTCAAGCGCTTTAAGACTTTAATTGAGAGAGATGAGGATATATTTACCATGAAAACTACTGAGGTTGTGGGAAAGGACGGTTTGGATATATACGGTAGCCAATGACCTCTTTTATTTTAGAAGCGATCAAAATCTTTGACCCAAAACGTTTTCTTATTAATGTTGCAGCAGTTATCTGGTTGATGTGCGTCTAAGGAAATGTGCTCGATTGTGTGTGTGTGTGTGTGTGTGTGTGTGTGTGTGTGTGTGTGTGTGTGTGTGTGTGTGTGTGTGTGTGTGTGTAACATCTCACTTTTATTCCTTTATTCGGTTCATTTTCCTTGAGTAAATGGCGTTAGTGGAGGAGCACACTGAGTTCTTTTCTTAAAATGCGCATTTAAACGCATGTCTTCTTCCTTCTAGCCAGGTTTGACTCAAATCTGGATTATTGCTCCTCATTCAGTGCTCCGAGAGTCTTGAATATATTGTTGAACTGTATATTTTCATGGACTAGATGGCCCTGCAATGTTCCACTATTCTTAGGTTTTGTAAAATTTGTCTCAGAACTACAAGTAAATCACTAGGGATGTACATAAGTGTCTGACTATCGTCTTACTTGAGTCAAGGCGCCGTTTACCTTACGGAAAGGTTGGTAATATTACTCTTCAGCTGCTGGTTTTCCTGTTCCATCAGACTGTTCTGTGTGAAAATTTGCTGCTTCTCTTCTTCAATACTCCTTATTCGCTGCTCATTTCTTTCTTTCTCTTCTTGAAGAGCTGCGTTTGTTTCTCGCAACAAGTTGATTTCATCTTCTGTTCTTGAGAGTTGCTCTTCAATGAACGTGTTTGATTCTTGTGTCCTGCTTTTTTCTTGTTTACACAGGAGGTTCTGCCTTTCTAGTTCAACGGTTCTTGATGCTGTCATCTTCCTCTCTTCTTTGGCTTCTGTCACTGCATGTTCCAGGTCTCGGTTCCTCTCCTTCGTCAACCTTGACTCCTCCTTCGCCTCCCGAGTTGCCGAACTCAATCGTCTATTTTCCTCCTCTGTTATTTGCAAGCTGCTGTTCATCTTACTATTTTCCCCCTCAACCAGTTCGATGGCTGCCTTCAAGTTGATGTTTTCTTCCAATACGCGAGTGTTTTCCTCAGTCAGGCGGGTGTTGTCCTGCCTCAGTTTACTGTTTTCTTCTGTCAGTCGAGCGTTGGTCTCAATTACCTGAGTGTTTTCCTCCGCCAGGCGAGTATTGTTCTCTCTCACCAGATCGTTTTCCCCCATCAATAGAGTGTTGTTCTTTATGACTTGAGTGCTCTCCTCTCTCACTTGAGTATTGTCTTCCCTCAGGAGAGAAATTTCATCCATTAGTCGATTGTTTTCCTTCATCAAGCGAAGATTCTTCTCCCACTGTTGGGTGTTTTCCTCCCGCAGGAGTGCGTTGTCCTTCTTTTCCTGAGTGTTTGCCTTCATCACCGACGTGTTTTCCTCCCTCAGAAAAGTGTTGTTCCTCTTTACCAGAGAGTTTTCCTCTCTTAATTCAGCCATGTCCTCCTTAAGCTGTCTATTCTCTGCTTCCAGGGCGTGGTTGACACTGGCCGCTTGCTCCAGTTTCTCCAGCAGGTGGCGCGTTATGTTGTTCTTCTCTTCAATATCTGTAAAGGAATCCAGCATTAATCAGAAATTCAGTTTAGATATAATCATTTTTATGGAAAGTTTGTTAATCAGCTATTAGTGACATCAATTATTCGTGTCATATCAACTATCCGTGTCTCATTTATCAACTATTCGTTGGTCTACATCACCCATTCGTACCCTGCTTTTCCTAGTTTACCCTGTGGAACGTGTTTAACATTTCCTAGTATTTAGGGTCATTATTATCATCATTCTGTTGTATCTCACACTGGCTAAAATTTATTGTTGACTTAAATGAAATGGTTTACATGTATTATTACCTATGGGATTATATTATCAAGCCTGTGCTAATAAGAATGCATCCTAGTCAACGGATTCTTGCCTTCTGGGCCTCTGACTAACTAGTTGTTACAAACACAGCACCAAGTGACTGACGGTCTTAACCCTCAAGCTAATCCGCGTAAGATTATTTCTCTCTAAAGCTCATACTGTATAATCAAAATTACTTTATTTTCCTTTAAAAAGAATCCAATTGTAATATCAGTTCTTGGAGAGACACTAGGATGCCACATGGTTCACTCCACCAGGCCACCTCTGGTGGCCTGGTGGTTAACGCTCTCGCTTCACACGGCGAGGGCCTGGGTTCGATTCCCAGCCAGAGTAGAAACATTGGACGTGTTTCTTTCCACCTGTTGTCTATGTTCCCCATCAGTAAAATGGGTACCTGGGTGTTAGTCGACTGGTGTGGGTCGCATCCTGGGACACTGACCTAAGGAGGCCTGGTCACAGACCGGGCCGCGGGGGCGTTGACCCCCGGAGCTCTCTCCAGATAAACTCGTCCATCTCATACATCTACTCTACTGAGCCCCTTGAAAAAGCCCTCTTTATATAATTGCTAAAGGGGAGAATTAATTCTGCCGGAAATGCTTCGGCATGATAGTGGCTTTCTTTGCACTTGCGAATCAATATTGTAATTAACCATTTTAAATTATGCATGGAAATAGACTCCTTATAACATGTCGGTCACACATTGTAAACTTTGCAAAGAAATAAAAAATTGAATTTGAATAATTAGGCTGAACATCGCAAAAACTGAGGTTAACCTCGGTAAATTTTACAGAAAAAATCATTATTGAAATTAGACTTTTTATATATTTTTATAAATCCATGTTGGTGCAAATGATATTCCAGCAATTATTATAGTGGACCACAACAAAAACAAATTTATATCCCGGTCACTAGCACTATCCCGGTCCACTAGGACTATCCCAGTCTCCATGAATATTCCAGTTGATAGGAATATCCCAGTCACTAGGAATATCCCAGCCACTAGGAATATCTCAGTCACTAGGAATATCCCAAAGGCTAGGTATGTGGTTTACTGAACAGGTTGATCGACTGAAGCAAAATAAGTCCCCAGGTCCTGATGAACTTTTTTCAAAGCTTCTCATAGTGGAAAAAATGAAACCTGGTAACCCAATAATTAACCTTTCTTTTTAATTCATCACATGAACCAGGTGTAGTGCCAGAGATATGGAAGATGATTCATGTAACTGGTATCTACAAATCAGAAGATAAATCATTAAAATTAAATTACCTCCCAAGAAGCCTGGTCTCAATAGTAGACAAATTACTAGTCAATTCCTCTTCAAGGGGAGCTCCTTGGCATGGTGAAGAGGCTCTTGGTCTGAGGAATTAGACCTGCTGGTCTCCTTCATCAGACCGAACCTAATTACCCCCCAATCCCCTCTTCCCTATCCCATCCTCCCCATCCTCCCTTTTTCCTTTCCTCCTCCTCCCCTCGTCCCTCCCTTATTCCCTTCCTCTTTTTGGCCTTCTTGATTCTTCCCACAGGCCTACTGGTTCCTAGGTAGGGGCCTCTTCAAGGGGGGCTCCTTGGCGTGGTGAAGAGGCTCTTGGTCTGAGGAATTAGCCCTGTCGGTCTTCTTCCTCAGACCGAACCTAATTACCCCCATTCTCCCCCCCTCCCCATCCTCCCCATTCCTCCCTTTCCATTCCTCCTCCTCCTCCCCACCCCTCCCTTTTGGCCCTTCCTCTTTTTGGCCTTTGGGATTTCTCCCACAGGCACACTAGTTCCTAGGTAGGGGAAAGGACACCGGGGTCCATCCCATTCCGTTGAGGTTCTTGGCAGTGGCGTAGTTTGCCGTGGAATCTGGATTGCCTGGGGATGTCCGATCCCTCTCCAGTATTCCCGGAGTAGCTTTGGGTGTCTTTCGGGCGACGGGTGTATCTCTGGAAGCCACCTTTCGGATTCCGGGGGGGTGGTGGCCGAAGGAGGTATGCTTTGTGGCGGATATCCGGCCGCCCTCTCTTTTGTCCACGAGGAGCTCGGCAGATGTGGGGTTTTGCTATCCCAGATTGCTATTTACGGGCATGAAGGGTAGGGTATGGCAGGTTTCCATGCTGCATCTGCGCTACTAGCGGTGCTGAGGTCCTCTTGGGTGCGGGGGGAGATTTCCGGCCCTTTCATTCCTCCTGGGAACTATTCCTCCCGCTTCCCCCTTTTTTTATTCTTTTTTTTTTTTTATTTTCTTTTCTTTCTTTTTTTTTCTAAAAAAAAGCAAAGGAGTAACCTAACCATGGCACCCCTTTAGTCCATGAACCCACAAACCCTGGGCCCCTTCTTGTACCGCACCCCATTCTGACCCTGCCTTGTGTTTAGCCCACTCTTCGGACACTCCTGATGCCCCGTACCTCTTGCTGGTGCTGTTTCCTCACCCTCTTCAGGTACCGGGGCTTTGACTGACTCCTTCGATTTGTCTGAACTCCGCTCTCCTTTTGACTATGCTTCCGGCTTCTCCCTCTCGGTACGGCAATTTTCGAATCGTCCACCCATTTCACCCCGGGACCAACCCCGGTCCTACTCCTAAACACCAACGTCAATCTCTGATGATGCTCCTTCGTTTCCTTTCCATTCTACTCGGAAAAGACCGACACGTCAAGCACTCCCTTCCACGCTCAGTTCGGACAACACAATGGACTAAATTCTTTACTTTAAGACCGACTTCTTCTTTGCCTCCCTTTCTGACCATAGTATTGGAAAAGCGCTCCTGCGTCATGTTGGTAGAGATATCTCATTTCATGCTCTCAAGAGCGGAAATGGCGCATCGTCACTGTCCGAAGGGCTACCCAAGCTCATGATCTTTCTTTTCCTTTCGATATCGATACTACTCCTATCACTATTGAAAAACATCTTTCTTTTTCAATTCTTGTAGTGGTACTGTCATTCTGCCCCATACCATAGCCCAAACAGAATTTCAGTCATGTGGCAATGACATTTTTGAACAGCTGGAACTCCAGGATCCCCCAATCCTCAAGTGGACACTTATGTCCTTCCTGCCCGGGGGGGACACGTTACCCTTGCAATGGGGGCTCGTTTAATTTTTTGAAAACCCGAGAACTCCCGTCCTCTGTATATGTCGGGGGGACATCGGTTACAAGTTCGAAGGTGATCCCTACACTGCAACAATGTAGAAATTGCTGGCGTTTTGGTCACCCGCGAAATATTGCAGATCTATGGCCGAATGCCAGTCTGTGGTCCCGATGACCATTCTAATGCATCTTGCAGTAAACCCTCCATCTTGCCTTAATTGTAATGAAGCTCACCCTTCGTTACTCCGCCGTTGTCAGGTCTACTTAAATGAACGTGAAATCCATTCCCTCAAGAGGGCAGAAGGTCTCCCTTATGTATGGCAGTTACTCATCTCCCCCTCCAGGGAAAACTACCCGTGTTTCTTATTTCGTGTTTCCAAACATCCCCCCCCACTTTGGGGTCCCATCTTCTGCAGCCTCCTCTGTTGTTACCCCTCCCATAGCCACTACGGCACCTAATCCATTTGCTGTCCTTGGCTCTGACGTCCGACTACAACTCAGTCTGTTTCACATCTTCGCGCCCTTCCTCACAAGCCCCGTATCAACAAGACCTCGTACGACACCTAATACCAATCGCCCCTCTACTCAGAAGGTCCAAAAAATCCCCCATTTCTCAAATCTTCTTTGCCCCTTCCTTCCCTTCTTCACCTCCACACTTTCCTTTCCGTCTCTGTACCTAGTTCTTCCCCTCTCTTGGCTCTATTACAAGTGTGGAGATTCACCCTCCTTTCCTCGAAACTATGCCTTCCACCCCCGTCCCCTCCCAAGTTTCTCCCTCTTCTGCCACCTCCCGGTTTCTGCCTCTTTTGTCCCCCTCCACACTTCATCTCCAGTCCTTACACTCTTCCCTCCCCCTCTGCTTTGGTACAGTCCATTACTGCCCCAATTTTTTACTAACCCCCTCCTTATCTCCAATTATGGTCTCCATACATCTTTGAATTCAGAAACACTTGACGCCATTTCAGAATTATTGCAGAGACTAAACCTTCAATGGACACTGATTCCCACTTCCTGTTCTTCTCTTCCCTCTCCTCCATCTTCACAACCCCCATTCTTCGCAACGCCCCGTTCCTTCGTACTTGAACGTTTTCCCAATGCCACCACACATTGACTTTTCTAACCCCTCTAGTCCGTAGGTCCCTTTTCCCTCCAGATTCCTGGTATTTTCTTAATCGCCAATCATGGCCTATTTACAGTGGAATATCGCGGCCTCAGGGGAAATGGGGGTGAGCTTCAGATGTTGCTTTCCAGGTTTTCCCCCGTTGGTGCTTGCTTACAAGAACCAAAATTACCTCGGCTGTTTTCCCAAAACCTATCTCAGGCTATAATTTATTGTATTCTTCGGATCCTTTCTCAGATGGGACCTTTATGAAAAGTGCCTTCTTCTACACAATGATATTCCGTACTGTCAACTTTTTGGTTCCATACCTCCGCTGCATTACACTGCAGCCCGTATCCACTTGAATAAGTGGTTTTAAACAATATGTTCTTTAAATCTCTCTCCTTCCCCGGGCATTTTCTATCCCAGATTTTTGCCTTTATTGTTTATCCTACCACCACCACTTCTGTTACTTGGTGATTTTAATACCCACCATTTCCTCTGGGGGGGGGTTCATTGTGACTCACG